TTTGACTTCAGAACTCGTACAAACTTATGCGAAATTATAGTAATTTTCCGACCTTATATATGAAAGACATGTTACATATAATACTTGTTCTACCGATAATTTTATCATTATAAATGTTGACACGTTCAATGCTATAAATTTTTTGTTGAATATTTTGTTTATTTTGTGCGAAAACTTATGGAGAAGGCTAAAATATTGACAAGAAATATAAAAACCTCCAGATATAAAATAAGCTTTTATAATAAACAAGTATATAAATTATAACTAGAATTAGTTAGTCAATTTACACAGATTTATTTGAATAGATTTTATACTAAAGTTTTAATTATTTATAGCACGTGGTACTGGAAGATGATCTATTGGCTAGTTTTTACTTAAAAAACAAACCATGTTTGTTTTGATTATCACATTACACCTAATCTTAAATTTTGATTGGCCAAAATTTACAGGGAACTAGTGTCACGCTTTTTCTTTGTGACTTGTAGTAACGAGAAATATATGACAAGTCACGCTCAAAAACAACGAGAGCGAAGCTAAGCCTTTACATTAGGTGCTTGAATGAAATCATTAGTGCTGAGGAAGGCCCAAGGCGTAAAAAAGCGTTAGAACTGCTTAATAGGTATAAAGAGGTACGAACCTTTTTTTATAAATATAAAAAATAGTGGCGTGCCGAAGACCTTCTATGCTCTTCATCATTCAAGCCTTCTAAGCCGAGCCACAAAGCTAGTATTGGGGCACAGGTAACCTTCTATGCTTACCTGATGTTCAAGTCTTCTAAGCCGACCCAATTCTAGCCCCACCGGGGCACAGGTAACCTTCTATGCTTGCCTAATGTTCAAGTCTTCTACACCGACCTGGTGGGATAACTTCTCTAATATAACCACCAAAATATGATTGCTACTTAGTATAGATTATATGTATTAAACTCGGATTTTGGTGGTTATGCTAAGTTCATCGAAATTAGATAGGGCTAGTTAAGAATACTAGTTTACTAAGTTTTTTATACTAGGGTGGTGATCGCGAAGCTATTAATAATTGGAAGTCTGATCACAAATTAAAAGAAACAACTTCTATTAATATTCAAAATACGTTTTTGGGAGGTGCTCAAACAATTGGAACTGTCAATGACAGAATATTTATGAAAGTCTAGCGAGTTTTTGCAACAAGGTGATTTAAAAAATTGTCAAAAATTGGTATTATTTGATTACTAACATATTTTATACAGGGTAGCATTGAAGAAATAAGAAAGATCATGCAAGAAATTGATCATGAAGAATATGATTTTGAAATAGACACCCTTAAGTATTCAGTTCACAGCTTGTAAGTATTAAAGTTATATCAACATATGAAACATTATCTAGTGCAAGATGATCTTACTTGCTTTGTTGCAGAATACATCAATATGAACGTAATCCAAATGCTTTCTCTTTGGACCATTACGAAGCATGGTATAATGTTAATGTTTGGGTCCCATTATCGATAGAACCTTTGACAATATATCAAATATCGATATTGTTCGGTAGATGGTAATAATAAATATTTTGGAACTATGCAGGATGCAGTTCAAATTTTCTAAATATGGGCTGAATTATTGTCGCGGCTAAAGCTAGAAACGATTAAAGCTAGAATTTTTCAAAAATTTTTGGTGTCCATTTTTTTAGGATTTAGAGTTAGTTTTGATAATAAAAATATGTAAGTGGATTTTGATAGGGTTTATATTTTAAATCGAAGACCCTAATTTCCACCTTGGTTTCAGCCGAGACAATTAATTATCTAATTAACATTAGTAAAGTTTTTAGTGATCTTGGGGCAAAATTAATCAATTCAAGCACATTCGACCGATACATTCCAACCGAAATGTTGGAGATTCTCCTTTATTTTTCCGAAAATTTTAGACTGCGCCCTGCAGTTATTAAATATTTTGCTAATTGCAATTTCTATTAGGAGTGAATCATCAAGTCTTGCAAGCTCTGATCGAAAAAACAAAAGCCATACTATGGATACCCGAAAAAAAATGGATAGAAGAGGTGATGCAATAATTAGAAAGACGTCAGGCGGAATGAAACTTGAATTTGGAGGTTCTGAGGCCGAAAAACACTATGAGGGACAAAATGCGACTAAGTAGCTTTACGAGTCAGAATTAAAACTTCCAAAAGTGATGCATGACATGTTTGTTAGCTTATATAAGAATGCAAAATAGGATATGTGAAAAATGGAAAAGATGGAAACCGTGGGTTATATTCATAATGGTATAGTATCATTTTTTTATTATTACTATTCTTTCGATTGTTTAAGTGTTTCTAACATTTTGTATATCTTATAGGTTTAGTTTTAATGATCATGACACTAGATCTCCCAGCCGGTTATATAACTCGCATTAATAAAAGCGAACTCTATCACATACCAGAAGACATCGAGTCTTTTGACAATACAATAGAATTGATTACAGCAGTTTGGAAAAGCAAGGTATTATTACATTAGGTTTGTTTCATTTAATTTTCAATTTTCTAAATTAATATTATTTGTAGATGCGAGTTGTCAATACAATGGCATTATTAAATAATACAGAGAAAGGTGTTATTGTCGATCATCTGAGGAATGTATCAACTATTAAAAGAAATAATACTGATCAAAAAATTCTTCCTGAGAATCAAATGAATCCAAAAAAGGCTAAAGAAAAGATCATTCAATAACTTTGATATATTATGAAAATAAATCTGATCGTGATATTTGTACAGTTTTCTTTGTAAAAATTGTATATATATTTTAAAAATAAATAGAAAATACATGTCTATTTATTTTTTTATTGTTACAAATAAAATATAGATATATGTATGCCTAGTACATATTTTTGAAATAGAAATACGAAGCAGGGTTTGTAGGCCTATGTGCACGTCGCCTTTTACTTTAGGTAATCTAGCAAATATTATATATTGCGGATGACTTCGTCGCCCGTTTACAATTTTTAGTTTGAATTGTCAATTGTATGATCAGATGGCTGCTTCACTGGGTGTAGTGTTTTAACCCGGGTGGGTCTTACCCGTAAGGATAGGAATCATAAAGTCATTAGTCGATTAGTCGACTATTAGTCGACTAATCGACTAAATTTTTTTATAATCAGTTGATTAGTCGTTTATTGCGGTTTGCAAATTATGTGAAATTTGAAGATCATTATTGCAGTTTGCAAATTATGTGAAATTTGAAGATCATTATTGTGGTTTGCAAAATTATGTGAAATTTAAAGATCATTAAAAAAAAAGTAATCACTGATTTCCGATTACTGTTTTCCGAATTCACTATTTTTTTTGACTTTTAGACTTGACAAAATTTACGCATTTATTATTTGTAAAAATTTGATTGAATATTTTAAATATATTGCAAAATTATAAATATGCAACTTTTATTTTCATAAAAATAATAACTGCACAAATTTTGTCTAATCTAGAAGTCAAAAAAAATGTTGAAGAAATTGGAAATCAGTAATCAGAAATCGTGATTACTTTTTTTTTAATGATCTTCAAATTTCACATAATTTTGCAAACCGCAATAAAAAAAAAGTAATCATGATTTCCAATTACTGATTTCTGATTTCTTTAACATTTTTTTGACTTTTAGACTTGACAAAATTTGCGCATTTATTATTTGCAAAAATTTGATTAAATATTTTAATTCGCAACTCCTATTTCTGCAAATATATACAAAATGATGAATATGCAACTTTTATTTCCATAAAATAATAAAATTTTTCCAAAATAATAACTGCACAAATTTTGTCTAATCTAAAAGCAAAAAAATGTTGAAGAAATCGGAAATCAGTAATCAGTGATTACCTTTTTTTTAATTATCTTCAAATTTTGCAAACCGCAATAATCAACTTAATCAAGCAAAATTTTTTTATATATGCATATTTATTTTTGTAATAATGATAATTTTGCTATTTTATTTAGAACAAGCTGATCTTTTATAATATTGTTCTAAAATAGCAAAGATAACTACAGATTTTAAAAATATATAGCAAAACAAGGTATACTGCACCATCCCGAAATAACGCCCAGAGGTATTATTTTGAGAGGCTTAATTTAAAACGAGTTAATAATTTGTTCGATTTTCTTAAACTTTAATATTAAATAAATATGGTCAAATTAATTATTGACTTGTTTTAAAGTATTACTAATTGTTATTTAAACTATATAGTTAAATAAACTATTTAGATTTATTAAATAACAAAGACCTGGTTCTTGGTTTTTAGAAATTATAAAATATAATTGTATCTAAAATATAATAGGCTAGTTTTGTGCATGTGCTTCGCACAATTTTTTGTGTGATAGTTTATCTTGTAATTAAGTAATGATCACTATATTATACTTTGCCGATCAATACATTTTGTAGAATTAGCTTATACTTTACATTTTGCGTAATAGCTAATTAGAGTCTAAATAAAAAAGATTCCCTTTTGCTCAAATCAAAAAAAATAAGAAAATATCTTCTGCGCTATAGTTACTTGTTCGCTATTATAAATATCTAATACTTGCGACCAACTGTTGAATTGGCAGGAAAGTCTCCCCTTATCATAATATTTTTGGTGCTGATTGTGTAGATTGAGCAAAGAGGAGCAAAAGCTGAATTCGCATTGTGTTAAGAAAAATTGTGTGGATTAAGCACAAACCGAATTCGTTTTGTGTTAAGAAAAAAATAATAATATAGTGAGCAAAAGCCGAATCCGCGTTGTGTTAAGATAATATAATTAAGTAAACAAAAATCGAGCTCGTGCTGTGTTAAAAAAAACCAAATCAAGTATTAATAAATAATTTTAGGAAGTTTTAAGAAGAGTTAACCCAGTGATTATCTCAAATTATCACCCTTGATATAATTACATAGGAATTTTGATTGGCTATAAAATGTAAATAAATGTCAGATGATCCTTGTGATGCGGGTATATATTATATCTTCAGGAGAATTCTACTGACACAACTTTGCACAGCCAAATGGCGGCATTAAACTAATTAACACAGAATAGCTGGCGTTAGAGTTAGGTTAGTATTAGGGTATGGGCAGAATTAGTCACGTGCTTCTGTGTTGGTATAATCGGTTTATATATAAAGAGGAGATAAAATTAACCGAAATAATAGAGGCACCTGATATAACACAGTATAATTGATATCATCTGATAGTTTGTTTATATTTTTTGGCCAATAAAAATTTTATGTGATTATATCGAGGTTATAATTTGTAATAATCACTG